TGTCGCGCGACGAATCGAAGGTGCAGGCCGGCAGCTTTGCCGCCGTGGGGTAAATGTATTTCGATTGTACAGCGTAGCTCCCGCGCTGGAAAAACAACGAAAAGCCCGATTAACCGTGCTACAAACAAAACAAACAACCCAACAATGGCGCAAACAAATGGCCACCCAGACGACCATGCAGCCGGGCAAACAATCGCTCGACCAAACGAGCAACCGCCCACCCAACTGGCCAACACACCAACCGCCCAACCAACCAACCGACCAGACAACCAGCCGACCAACTGAACAAAACAAATAAACCGACCAACTAGCCAACCAAATAACCCAAAAACCCGTGACAACTTCTGGTGTCATATGATTTCCAATGGGACAAACGAAAAACCAATAATTGAGCCTCCTTGCAAATATTTGCCACCAGCGAGCAGAGTTGAGCCACCATGTGTTGGTTCAGCCTGCTCAATGATGAGTCGAGGATAATGGGCAGGAGATAAAAAATATAAAGAAGACGAAGAAAAGGAGAGAGAGAGGAGGTAAGAGGCTCCTGTCTATTTAGCTTCAGGTACCATGGCAAATTGTTCGATCGCGGTGTCAACCTCGTGTTGGCAGAAACCGTCGGTGGACAACTCCCTCAATTCTCTGCCTCTACGGATAATTTCAAATCTGCTTGTTTTCAGAACTGCTGTTGCTGAATCCGAGTGTCTTTCCCCTGGGAGAAACGTCCGTGGCCGCGTTCCTTGTTTTTTTCTCTCAACGTGCCCACGCCCTATTTGGAGTCGGTATCTCGGTCGCCTCTCCCTATCCTACCGCCCCTTCGGTGAAGAGTGGGTCGAACGCCGCAAGGAGCTCGGCCCTGCCTTTCCCAGTCCGCAGGCGCTGCATCAGCTTCTCGCGGTCGCGGCATTTGCTGCTCCCGCCTTCGTTGGCGGCGGGCGGCGGGGGAAACGAGTAAGTGCGTGCGTCGCGGACCAACCCTATAAGTGGTCTTGGTGCTCCACAGCTGTGAGCATTTGGGGAAACCTTTGCGTGGGGTGCGCAACACGCATCCTTGACATGTTCTAACGCAAACGCCGGCAACGCAATGCGGACGATGCTGCTGCTGCTGCTGCTGCAATCGCCTTCTGGGCTGTAGCAAGTAGAACCTGTCATGGGTCATCACAATCGGGAGATGACTGTAGCTGCAATGTGTCCTGACGTGTCCCTTCAATTTTCAAATTTGTCGTGCTTGGCGAAGGTCCCTAGTGCATGTGCGCTGCTGCTTTCGATGCCCACGTCTTCTCCTTTTATACATGCCGACTTGGTTGTTGATGTTACCCCTCCTCTTTACCCCTGCAGTACAGGCCGTACGTCTTCCTAGTCCGTCTGTGCATCCTTCCATCAAGTTCACGATTTCTTTTGTGGAAAGGGACCATATAGGTCCCGAGGGCGGCGCAGTAAAATGTGTTTTTTGCTTCTCGGTCCTGCCGTTCTCGCGTGGGTTGAATGCTGGTGTGTAAAACCTGCGCAGAACCCTCTCGGGGACCCTCCTGGACAACAAGGTTGTGCAACCACATGCCGTTTGTAGTCCTGTCCCCATCTTCCCCCCGAGCTGAATCCTCAGTGGCATGGGAGGTGAGCATTCTTGGTCGCGTCGGGTCCTGTCTTCTAGTAGGCCCCAGGTCTATACGATACCGTCCCAGTTTCGCATTTCGTTGCTGGTCGTCTCGGGTCTCTCATTTGTGCTGGCTGCCAACCGGCTGTAGTGGTCAGTTCGCAGCATCCAGTATTCGGTGAGATCCAACATCGTCGTTGGCACAAGACATGGCATCTGATAATGTTCCCCCCGCCACCGATATTGAGGATAATGACAAGGAAGACGAGGAGGAGAAGGCGGAGGAAGAGGAGGAGGAGGAGGAGGAAGCGGAGGAGGGGGGAACAAGCGGTTTGGATGGATGGACGAGTGGATGGAGTGGGGGGCGGGATGAGTAGGGTGCCCTCGTCGGTCGAAGGCCGACTGCACTCCGTGTAGGTGGCAGGAGCGCCATCTTTGTCGTGCGGGCATTAGCGAGGACTTGTGCGAAAAGGAAGATGAGTTTCAAAGGAGGAGGGGGCTGGGGTAGCGGGAGGGGGAAGAATACAAGGGGGAGAAGGGTGAGGAGAAGCAGAAGGAAGGCAGAGGATGGATGTGGGGACAAGGGGTGAGGAGGAAGAGGAGGAGGCGCAGGGGCAGACGCAGGAAGAGGCTCGAAGCGATGGCTCTGGGGCGCCTGAGCCCCGTCAGCGTGTCCAGTTTTCAGGTGCCACCATTCAGGATAGCACGGCTGTCGCAAGCGCCCATCGTGGGTGAAAGTCACGGCCAGGCCAATCGTTGGGCAAACCAGGTGCGAGTGCGCGCTGAGTGCTTCCCACTGGCGACGCTGGTCTTGTCGGTTCACCATGCCTTTCCTATACTTGGATAGTGCGGCTTGGAGCTAAATGATGACCACTGGTGCGGGGTTTAATCCGAAAGGCCTTCTGGTACAGAAAAAACGCAAATCAAGCATACACGTTTGGAGGTCCGCACGGATTTCTTAGATCGCAGACCCCCCTACCTGTTGCGCGGAGCGCACCAGGGGCGGCACCGAACGCGCCGCCAGGGGGATCCAGCGCCGATCCAAGAAATCCGCGCGGAGCCCCCACAGCTTACGCTTATGAGTTGTGTTTCTTCTTCGAGGGGTTCGATCCGAATGCCCTTTTGAGGCTGGCTCAGGCCGGACTGTGGGTAAGGCCGCGGAGGGCGTGCCTGCGTCTCCTCTCTCATGCCTACACGGCCTGGCTGACGTAGGCTCAGTGCCCTCGTGGGCCCGCTTGCTGGTTCTTTGCCTTTTGCGCCTCTCCTGCTTTCTACTGCGCTCGCCAGGTGTAACTTGTTGGCCTCATGGCCTAAGTCGGCATTCTTTTCCTGCACGAGAGCTATAGCCACGACGCCCAAGTTCGCTCTCCTGGGGTTTCGCTGTGTTCCTGCTCGTTCCCAGGTGTCGAGTGTTCGGAGCTACGCCGTCGATGCCGCGCTTCCCTGTGGCCGTGCTGCGTTCCTGCTCGTAACGCACACCGCCAGAGGCGGCGGAGAGCTCGAGAGATCCACCTGCCAAAATGGCAAGCCTGCGCTGTGGAGCGCACTGCTGGCGCCCGCCGGAGCCTCCGTAGGCGCCCGGCAGACAGCCGAGGAGGAGGAGGAGGAGGAGGAGGAGGAGGAGGAGGGGGAGGAGGAAGAAGGAGGGGCAGGAGGAAGAAGGAGGAGGAGGAGGAGGAGGAGGGCTTTCTCCAAGGATCTGCGGGTGAAGAGGGGGGAAAAGAAGGGGGGATCGAAGGGCTTCGCACTTTCTCCCTGGCGCAGGAGGTTTTTTTTCCCGGGAGTTTCGGAGAATGGGGGAGGGGGCCTTCCTCCCAGGAGGAGGAAGAGGAGGAAGAGGAGGAAGAGGAGGAGGAGGAGGAGGAGGAGGAGGAGGAGGAGGAGGGGGAGGGGGAGGGAGGAGGAGGAGGAGGAGGAGGAGGAGGAGGAGGAGAAGCAGGAGGAGTGGGAGAACGAGGAGGAGGAGGAGGAGGAGGAATAGGAGGAGGAGGAGGCGGGAGGAGGCCCTCGGCGGCGGCGCCAGGCGGCGGGCGCTGCCGCCGAGGGCCTCGGAGGTCCGCGTGGCGCCTGCACGCGGCAGCCTCAGTGGGGGACGGACTTGCATCTGCTTGGGTGATCACAGTCGGCCCGTATCATAAGGATGCGCGAGAAGGATGCAAGGGCCTTGGACGCCCATGCCGAAGCTTCTCGAGCGGGACGCGGCCGACGAAGGTGGCAAAGGATGGACCGAGGAGGCAAGGATGCAAGAGTATCCTTGGGAAAGTTGCCCGCCCTTGCTATGTGGGTTGACTGTAGCACTACATGACCCCGAACCCTTTGGGAGCGGACTGTGGGGGTCTTTTTTCTTCAGATGCATCGAGCCGAACCACTCAGATGGGATATCCCTAGTGTATGGACGGGGGGGCCTAAGCGATGCCACGCCTTCATCGTGTCACTGGGGTCAAGGGCTCTCTTATTCTCGACGACTGGATGCTGCTTCCGTCAGGCTCGACTCTCTTTGTGACTGGTCCCCCTGAGGTCCAGGGCCGCCTGCCTCGAAAACCAAAGGCGGAAATGGACCCATTGTTACCCATCCACTCTCGGCGGTTCTCGGCCTTCCGTCGGCGGTATTGGCGGTTCTTCGGCGGTCTTGGCGGCGCGCGCCAGTCACTGGCGGTCTTCCGCACGCAGGCCGCTTGGCAAAGAGTGAGCATGGTTTGACCGACCCTTCTCTCAGTGGGCGTGGCCTCGTCCTACTGGCCGATTCACCCCGCTAGACGGGGTACACAGGCCGCCTGGTTCGGGTTTTGTGAGGGGATACCCCCGACTGGGGTGCTGAGATGGTGGGGGCCTGGATGGGGACGGGCATGGGGGCAGGGGTCGGTGGAACGACGCTGAGAAGACGACGCTGGACAACGAGGCTCAGGAGAGGAGGAGGAGGAGGAGGAGGAGGAGGAGGAGGAGGAGGAGGCGGAGGAGGAGGAGGAGGAGGAGGAGGAGGGAGGGAGGGGGGGAGGGAGGGAGGGAGGGAGTGAGGAAGGAAGGGAGGGAGGGAGGGAGGGAGGGAGGGAGGAGGAGGAGGAGGGACGAGGAAACGCGCAGCAGCGGGCGCAGCGGCGGGCGGGGAAGCCCGGCAGCGGTAGCCGCCCCCTCCTCGGCGAAGCGACCGCACGCGGCGCACAGCCGCGGGCCGCGCCGCGGACACTCCGGGCCTGGCTCCTCCTCGTGCCCCTGCAGGAGGAAGGCCGTCGACGCCGCCGCCGTCGACGACGCCTCCGCCGTCGACGCCGCCGCCGCCGCCGCCGCCGTCGCCGTCGTCGTCGTCGTCGTCGTCGTCGTCGTGGTCGTCGTCGTCGTCGTCGTCGTCGTCGTCGTCGCACGACCGCCCCACGTGGCCTGCGAGCCGCGCGAAGCCTTGCTCTGACGGGTGCCGCCCTCTATGGCGTGGCAGGCCCAACCGGACCACCGAGAGGGGCAAGGTCACAAAAGGCCGGAAGGACGTGTCCAGCGAGAGCTCGCGTCGAGAAGCAGCCGGCCTCGGTCCGCGCGACTTTTTCCGTGTCCTGTGCAAGACTGGCCTCGCGGCCGTGCGGTTTCTGGCTGTCTCTTGTGGCCGCTCTCTCCGGCAGACCGAAAAAGTCCAAGGGCGTCTGCCTTCGGGGCCGTGCACTTGGGGCCAGGCCTGCTGAGGCGCAGGTCCGCAGGCCGTCCTGGCGTTCCCCTGCGGAGCGCCAGGCGGCCCGCACTCCCAAAAGGCTTTGGGCTGGCGCGCAGCGAATTAGGGAGCGATGGTGTACATCAAGCCCTCGGCTGGCCACCACGGCCGATGGAGCAAGAGAGCTCTGTGCGCGAGCACGAGTCACACCAAGCCCTGTCGAAGACTGACTTGGCTATCAATGAAAACAGGCCGCCTGCTCAAGACTACTGGACGACCGCCAAGCTGTACACAGCGGACGAGGGCACATTCGAGGGCAGAAGCTCCACAGGAGCGTCGGGAGGCTCAAGCGGCTGGATCGACGTGCGATCGGCCTGGGCATTGCACCGCTTCGGAGACCTCACCTGCTCGACCAGAACATCCGGTGCGTCAAGACAGCGGCCGTGCAAATCATGGCCGTGCCGACTGCCGCCACGACCACAGCCTCGGCGCTGGCCTTCTTCTTCCGGGGGGCCGGCGAGGCGTCCGGCTCGACGAGGTCCGCGATGCGCTCCTCCGCGGCACGAAGCGCCCCGGCGAGGTGCTGCTGGGCGAGGCTCTTCTCGGCACCCTTTGTGAACACCAAGACCAGCGAATCGGGCAAGCCTGACACGTTGTAGCCGTTGATGGCATCACCGTCGGCACAGAAGGGGACGAACTCCAACACGTGTGGATTCTCCCTGAACATGGATCGCAGTCTCTCCGTGAAGGCATCGATGCCAATGCCAGAGACAACGCCAGAATACGGGGATTCCACCCAGCCAGCCTCGTAACACACCGACGGCTCCAAGGGACGCCTGTCGGCTAAATGTCCCACGGAGATGCCCATGCACGTCTGCAAATGAAGCTCAACCAAATCCATTCCGTAAACGTGCTTGTGCATCCTCTGGACAGAGCCGCCGCCCATGCGCGCATTGACCTCCAAGATTCGCACGCCACAACGTGGGGAGTACCGTACGTCGAGATCGAAAACTCCCGTCGTCAAGCCAAGCGCATGTACGGAAGCAACGCAATGTGAGGCAACGAGAGCCTCGACAACATGCCCGTGGACAGTAGGGAAGCTGCGGCCCGTGCCCTGGAAGAACTGGCCGTGGCTCTGCTTGTCGGCGTCCATGACGGAGCAAAATAAGTCGCGGCCCTGCTGCATCACGATTTCCACGCCGAACTCTGGCCCGTCAATATACTCCTCCAAGAGGAAAACCTCGTCCTGGATGTATGTGCGCGCAGCGCGCTGTTCCAAAAATACCTTCACTGCCTCCTCTGCGGAAAAGACTTTGACGACACCAATCGAGGCTGTACCCCTGGCTGGCTTAAAGATCGCAGGGAACACAATCTGACCCGCAGCCTGCTCAATGTCCTGCTTCGTTGAGCAAGGGAACGATTGCCACGACTCCAGCCCACTGGCGACGAGGCACTTGCGGGTTTCGTTTTTGAACGCGCATCTGCGCACTGCATCGTAGCTGTTCGTCACCACGCCGAGCCTCTCTGCGACCAAAGCGGTCAAAGGCAAGTACCAGTTGATCAAGTTGTAGGCACCTGTGACGTTGTCAATCGATGCGGCCCGCAAAGCGTCCACGACTACATCGGCGAGCTCCGCTTCCTGCGGACGTTGTTCGAGGCCTGGAACGACGACCACCCTGTGCACCACACCGGTGACCTCCATCTCATGAGCCCAAGAGCCCTCATCGGCAACGACGACAGTGCTCATGCCCAACTCGCACATCCTTTCGAACATGCCGAGGTGGCAACCTCTGAACCCGCTGCCAACAACCAGCGCCACCATGCGAGATCCGTCGGCATTCACAAACGCCATTTGGCGAAGACGTAATGCCGACAAGCGAGTGACAAACACAGACCACAAACACAACACAACGTTGCAAACACAATTGCGTAACTAAGCGAAACTGCCTTGAACAAAAGTGGTTACGGACCTCGATCCGTGTGATTGTTGCGCCGATGATGCATGGCCAGACATTCCGAGGAAGTCTGAAGCGTGAGCTCCATTTTGAAAGGCAGCGCCCTCCATCTGGACAGTCGTTGAGACATGTCTTAAGTAAACGTGCGCGGCTCGCAAGCGAGAACCGTATTTTGAACATCTCCCGCCTTCCATCGTTACTGTTGGGAATTTTTGATATGAACGTGTGCGGCGCGAACGTGAGACAAACATTTGGAAAACCACCCGCTGCCAATTCTTGTATTTCTTGGAAACTTGAAGACGCATGTGCGCGGCGTTCAGGCGAGGGCCACATTTTGACCCAAGGCTCCAGTGGGGGCATCCTGACTGGAGCCACCTCCTTTCTGATCGATGGCTCCCAGGATTGCTTCCAGAGGGCCCCTAAAGCACCCAAGAGGGCCCCGCGAGAGCCCCAGGGGGGCCTCGAAGGCAACCAACATTCCCCCAAAAGGGAGCCCAAGCGTGGCCTTCAAAAGGCTCCCGTAGGCATTTAAATTCAAGATTGCTAGCCTCCTTGCTTCACTCTAGGCTCGTCTACTTTCATCCTTCCGACACCTCTCCTGGGCATCGTTTCTGGATCGGCTGGTGGGGATACGCGACGCGCCACTACGGCGGCCCCCCCCCCCCCCCCCCCCTGCGGGCTGTGCCATGTAAAACCTGCTGCTAACTCGGCTGGCTGGCTGCGCAAAATTGGCGATGCGCTCGATGCCGCGTATTCATCGTCCCCTGGGCCCGGTGTTTTAGGAGTGCCTTCGGGAAAACAGAGGATCCCGTCTTGTAGGCCGTCTTCCTGCATCCGTCTTCATTCCGTCACTCCGTCATCATATTTCTCGCCTTGCGTCCACCTCCTGCGCCATGTTCTGACATTCCTTCATCCTGCGTCCGCCTCCACTCCGTCATCACATGTCATGCCCTGCGGAAGCAAAACAGAACACACATCGCCAACATATCATTGGCCTGGCGGTCGCCGACATGATAACGGCAGCGAGGATGGCGGATGAGGGGGCGGCGGTGCACGCCGACAGAACTGTGAGGATGGCGGAGGAGTTGGCAGTTGTGGAGGCTCAGAGGAAGAGAAGGAGGAGGAGGAGGAGGAGGAGAGGAGGAAGAGGAGGAAAAGGAGGAGAAAGCGGAGGAGGAGGAGGGGGAGGAATAGGAGGAGGAGGAGGAGGAGGAGGTGGAGGAGGAGGAGGAGGAGGAGGAGGAGAAGAAGGAAGCGGCTCAGAGGAGGAAGAGGAGGCGGAGGAGGAGGAGGAGGAAGAGGGGATGTGGCGGTTGTGACTGTTCTCTAAGAAGGCCAAATGTTGGTTTGGTTTCACTATGTCGTGCTCCTCTTCCGGGGTTGCGGCATACCCAACGATCTCGGTCGCCGACACAATCCGCCACCGTGCTTGAAGCGGCAGGTGTGCGTCAGGCCCCTTCGCCTCTTGCGAAGCCAGAATGAGGGCCCCCCGACGCATCGAGCACAAGATGCGTTCATTTTTGTGGCCAAATCCCTGCGCCTATCTCGCCATCGCTCGGACGTCCATTCCCTGTGTTTTTTTCGGTTTCGTGCGTGGTTTTTGTCGGCAAATGATCAAGGATGCTCCTCGATGGTCCTCGCCGAGGAAAAAAACGCACACGTCCGAGCGATGCCAGGCTATAGCCTTCCAAGCAGGAAATGGTCCCAGATACAGAATCTGGGGAGGGGGGGGGCCGTGGCCCCTCCCCGCACTCTCCCCCCAGGCGCCCCCCCCTCCGCCCGCCTGAATGCGGCGGCGGAATCGCGCGGCAGCGCAACGGGATACCAGCAACTGTCTCGTACGAGGGCGGCGGCTCTGAAGGCGGGCTTCAACGACAGCTGAAGGGAAAAGGGCATCTAAAACACTAGGCGTGCTCCTGCCGCTACTGCCCGCTCCTGCCCCTCCTCCTCCTCCCTCTGAAAATTTGGCAGAAACGTTTTTTTTGGTTGTTTGTTTCTTTTGTTTTTTTTGGTTTTGTGTTTGTCAAAAAGCACAAACGGGATACCACTTGAGCCAAACAATTGCGGCCGGCAGTCAACCACCGTATCCCACGCTGCTCTACTCTACTCTACCCTACCCTAATCAACTCTACTCGTATCATGCTTTCCTCTACGCCTGCTCCACTTTGCTCGTCGTCACCGTCTCCGTCGTTTCCGTCTTCGTTGTCGTCGTCGTCGTCGTCGTCGTCGTCGTCGTCGTCGTCGTGGTCGTCGCCGTTGTCGTCTTCGAGGTCGGCGTGGTCGGCGTGGTGGCCGTCGTCGTCGTCGTCGTGATCGTCGTGCGTCGTCCGTCGTCGTCGTAGTCGTCGTCGTCGTCGTCGTCGTGGTTGTCGTCGTGGTCGTCGTCGTTGTCGTCGTCGTCGTTGTAACCTTTTCTGGAAGACTTCACCCAGAGCCTGTGGAGCCAAGCGTAGAAGCAAGCCAGCCACCACTACTTGGGCGGGGGGTTGGAGGGTGGGGCTGACCTCTTCTCCCTCCGCCAAAATCTCCGCACTCTTGATAAGATGACATCCGCGGCTGCTCGAGGCATCAAAAGTAATGTGATGGCCATGGCCACGGGGTCGACGTGGCCTCGGGCATTTGCCCGCCTGGCGTCTTGGTGTCACAAACCGTCTTGGGACCAGCTCGGGGCCATCGTTGGCCAAGCGGGAAACGTCCCAAGGCCGAAGCAATCGAGTAACCATGCCGAGCTGCTAGCACTCATCTGCTGGCTAGAGGTCCTGCCCCAAATGTACCATATACCGCCTGACGGCGAACTCCACTTCAAAACCGGCTCGGCTTATGTGGTCCGTGGTGTTAGTCGTCCCGACACCAGCAGGCCTAGAACGAATAGGGGCCTTTGGAAGCGATTTCGGGCGGCCCGAGGGTGGCGCCTCGTTGTCTGTCACAAGGTCGAAAGCCACGTGACCGAAGCCATACAGGCCGAGGTGCGTTTTCCAGAGCTGTGGACGCGAACCAGCAGCTTAGTCGACATCCAGGCTGATGAAGCGGCCAGGGAATTTCAGCTCCACCCTGACCAGGTCCCGAGGGTCCAGGATGTTGAGAAGAAGGCCGCTCGAGTCTGGAAACGTTTGTGCTCTGTCCTTGAAAATGCCATGCAAGCTGATGACGAGGCCAGGTCCCAGGTTGAAAGACTCCCGACCCTGGCCGAGCAGAATACGGCGCCCCGCCCCAGCGTTCTGCAGAAGGCGGTGGCGACCAGTGCACATACTCCGACTACCATTGAAAAGGGACGGCAGGGGGTCAGAGCTACGTGTTCGGTGTGCCTGGGTCGTGTTGGGGGTAGAGCCTGTGCTCTTCAATGGCTCTCGACCCCGTCCCCCAGTTGCCGTTCCTGCAGGTGCCTTTCAGCCAGCTGGCAGCGTTCCAAAGGCCCACCAGAGGCTTCAGATTGGGCTGGTCACCTCACCCAACACGCAAGGTCTTGGTCAATGAGGAGATCCCCATGTTTCATTGCAGCAGCTGCGGATATGTAGGTGCACGTGAGGGCGGAGCCCTCAGGAACCTTGCTGTTGAATGCCGTCCTCGAACGAAGGACGGCAAGAGGAACCTGGATCAGATTGCGAGGGGCATTTGGCCAGGGAGCTCCAAGGCTGCTGCGGAATTCAATCATAGAAGAGGCTTTCGCCTCGCAAAGGCAAAGGAGAAGGCAATGTCCAGGTGCTGATAATTTGATGAGCACTGCTCAGCGTAGAAATCCCAAAAACGTCGTCGTCGTCCTCCGTCGTCGTCCTCCTCCTTCTCCTCCTCGCCTTCCTCTTTCTCCCTTCCTTGGTCGTCGGGGGGGGCTCTCTTCGTCCTCCCTTTCTTGGTCGTCGTCCTCGTCGGCGGCGGCGGTGGCGGCGTCGGGGGCATCTGCGTCAGCGTCGGCGTCGATGTTGGCGTCGGCGCGGTCGTCGTCGTCGCCGACGTCGTCGTGGCCGTCGTGCAGCATCCGTCGTCGTCGTCGCCGCCGCCGTCGTCGCCGGGGGCTGCGAGGGGGGGGGCCTGGACACTCCGAGTGATTTTTCCTGAGGCTCTGTGGGGGGTTCCTGACCCCCCCCCCCGATAATAATGTTCCCAGGGGGGTGGGGGGGCTGACCCCCGCCTGCCAGCGGCGGCAGAAAGTGTTCTTTCCTGAGAGGCGACCAGCCCGGGGGGGGGATTCGAGCCAGAGTCGAAACACTACATCGCTGATAGATCGGCATCAGGACCTCGATGGCGCATCCGCGCGTTCCTGGGCAGGATGGGTTCCCGGGCCCCGATTTATCTTGTTCCCATCGTACTTAAGGACCACATCCCAGAAATAATCTCGAGCACCCGGAGAAGTGTCGAACGAGTGTCGAAACAGTGTCGGACGAGCGTCTCCCAGGGCCCGACACGTGAAAACCCTCGAGTTTCGGTATTTTTGTCGGCGCTCGAAAGTCTTTCTGGTGATCAAGGCCAAAGTAGGTCTCAACATCATACGCCCCGATCTGCGATCAATGGGCCATCAGGGGTCGACGGATCCACCCCTGCACCTGTCCCCGTCCCGGGTGGTTTTCGGGCCATGACTCGTGCCTCCGGCGGCCCTTCGGGGGGCGATCTGGACATCCCCGGACGCCCCTCGGCGAGGCGCAGCGGCTGAAACGCATCCCGAGGCAGGACAGTCTCCAGGAGCCGACGAAGACGTCCGAAACCCCCCGCCTGCGCCTGTTTTCTCTTGTTTGCCCCCCAACTGTCCCCCCAAGTTTCGGCGGCGAGCGAGGGGGGAAGTAAGGAGGGGCGAGCCTTCTCAGAAGACTCGGAAGTCTCCTGGCCTTCCGAAAAGTTTCCTGAGCCTTCCCCGAAGCCGCAGAAAACTTCTCAGAAGGCGCGAGGGCTTCTGCGAAGTCACGCCGCCTTCCGAGAAGGCCTTCTCCTTCTCGCTTCCACCCCTCGCTCGCCGCCGATTTTGTTTGCCCCCCAATTTTGAGCAGGGACCGACCGTCCCGGCATTCCTATAGGCCTACCACGAGATGTTCTTAGAACCC